GATGGGTATTTCATTGAATCTACAGAATACCTTGGGTAGGATGGACATCTTGACAATATTGATTCTTCCAGTGCATGGAATTTTATTTTCATTTGTTTGTGTCATTCTTGATTTCTTTTAGCAGTGTTTTGTAGTTCTCGTTGTACAGGTCTTCCACTTCTCTGGCTGCATAGATGCCAAGGTTTCATTTTTTCGTGGCTATTGTGAAGGAGATTGTGCTTTTTATTTGGTTCTCTGCCTGCTTGTTGTTAGTGTACAGAAATGCAACTGTCTTTTGCACATTAGTTTTGTAACTTGTGACTTTACTGAAGTCATTTATCAATGTGATGAGGCTTTTGACAGACTTCCTATGATATCCTAGGTATAAAATTATCTTATCTGCAAAGAGGTATAGCTTAGTTCCTTCTTTTTCTATTTGGATACTCCTGATTTCCTTCTTTTGACTGATTGTTCTGTCTAGGACTTCCAGCACTATGTTGAATAGGAGGGATGAAAGTGGGCATCTTTGTCTTGTTCCACTTCTTAGGGAAAAATGCTTCCGGCTTCTGCTCATTGAGCAAATTATTGGCTGTGGGTTTATCATAGATGGCTCTTACTATTTTGAGAAATTTTTCTTCTATACCTAGGAGCTCAAAGTTTTTATCATGAAGGGATGCTGGATTGTGCCAAAAGATTTTTCTATGTCTAATGAGAGAATCATGTAGTTCTTGGTTTTACATCTGTTAATGTGCTGAATTATGTTTATGGTCTTGCAAATGTTGAATCAGTCCTGCATCCCAGGAATGAAGCTCTCCTGGTCATGGCAGAAGATCCTTGAGATGTGTTGTTGGATTTCATGTGCTAGAATCTTGTTGAGAGTTTTTGTGTCTATGTTCATCAAGGAGATTAGCCTGTTATTCTCTTTCCTTGATGGGTCTTTGCCAGGGTTGGTATAAGCATGATGTTAGCTTCATAAAATGAGTTGGGGAGAATTCTATCATCCTCAATTGCCTGAAATACTGTCAATAATATTAGTATCAGCTCCTCCTTGTATCTCTTGTAGACTTCAGCTGGGAAACCGTTTGGTCCAGGGTTTTTTTTTTTTTTTTTTTGGTGAAGAGTTTTCTTATGACTGAGTAAATTTCCTGGATTGTTATTAATCTGTTTAAAGTTTCAATTTCTTCTTGTTTCAACCTTGGGAAGTTGTGTAATGTCAGACAATGCTTGATTTCCTTTATATTTTCTAGTTTGTTTGCATACAGATTTTTATAATAATGTCTGATAACCTTTTGAGTTTCTTCAGGGTTAGTTGTGACTTATTTTCTTTTCTAATAGTATTTATTTGGACTTTCTCTCCTTTTTAGTCAAACTGGCTAGGAGTTTGTTAATCTTACTTACCCTTTCAAAGAATCAGCTTTTTGTGTTGTTGATCCTTAGTATGATATGTTTATCTTCTATCTCCTGCAATTGTGACTTTATCTTAGTGATCTGAATTTTTCTATTGAAATTATGATTGAGATGATCTTGCCTTTCCAGCTCCCTTAGGTGTGACATTAGAATGTTTACTTGTGATTTCTCTGTTTTCTTGATGTGTACATATAGTGCTATAAATTTTTTCTTAACATTGCTTTCATGGCATCCCAGAGATTCTGATAAAATGTGTTTTTGTTTTTTGCTTGTTTCCAGGAGACTTTTTATTTCTTTTTTTTTTTTTTTGAGTTGGAGTCTCACTCTGTCGCCCAGACTGGCTCCCGGCCACCACAACCTTGACCTGCTGGGCTCCGGCGATCCTTCCACCTCAGCCTTCCGAGTAGCCGGAATTACAGACATGCGCTACCACGCCCGGCTGACTTTTGATTTATTGTAGAGATGAGGTCTCGCTGCCCAGGCGGGTCTCGAACCCGCGGGCTCAGGCAATCCACTCACCTCAGCCTCCCAAAGGCGTGGGATTACAGGTTGAGCCACTGAGCCCGGCTGACTTTTTATTTCTGTCTTGATTTTTATGTTGACCTAGAAGTCATTTAGCTACATGTAATTCAGTGTCAATGTCTTTGTGTGTTTTGGGGGGATCTTGTTGATGACAATATATATTTTTAATTCACTGTGATTTAAGAGGATGCATGGCATTATTTGGATCTTTTGAAATTTGTTCATGCTTAATTTATGTCCAAAAATATGATCAATCTTGGAGAATGTACCATGTATGAATGAGTAGAATATATACTCTGTACCTGTTGAGTGGAGTGTTCTGTAGATGTCTATTAAATATGTTTGATCCAGTGTTGAGTTAAGGATCTGGATCTCCTTGTTGGTCTATCTACAGCTGCTAGTGGGGTATTTAGGTCTCCAAGTATAATTATGTGTCAGTGGCCCCTCTTAGTGTCCTTACTAGTTGTTTTATAAAATCTGGTGCTCCTGTGTTGGGTGTATATATATTTAATGTGGGTATTTCTTGCTGGTTAGTTGAGCCTTTTATCATTATGTAGTATCCTTCCATGTCCTTTTTAAGTTTTGACGATGAAGTCTGCAATCTCATGCTTTTGGAATTCTTAAAAGGAGTTTATAACAAACACTTTAATTGCTTTTAATTATTTTTGACTGATGAATAATTGTACACCTTGGATTTCTTTGTATATGAGATTGACTCATAGTGCAGTTATCTGAATTTTGTTCTGCTTTATTCATTCATATTACACCAAAGTTTATAATCAGTAAGATCAAAAGTCGGTTGCAAAAATCCCTTTCACCATGGGCTGTTGCAGTTGAAGAATAAGCAGTTTTAGAGCTGAGTTGTTCAGAAATTGTCTTGCATTAGAGAAACTTCAAGTTTGTTTACATTTCCCATATTATACACCTATTGTTAGGGGATTGGGTGGTGTGAGGAGTAGGGTATAAGTAACTCTCACATTGCCACTCTGTGAGCAGTGAACTTCTTTATCCTGAGCTGTACAATTTCAGAGGAATTGCCATGGCACTCAGGATTTCTCACACTGGGCATTTTGCTTACCTCTCTAAATGTGGAATGATAGTATGTCTTTCAGTAAACAGGTGAAATTCTTTCCCACAACCACAGCATGTTAAAGACTTCTTAATCTGTAACGAGAATAGAGTCGTTAAAATGTTATAAATGAAAAATTAATATTAGAATAAATAATAAACACAAACCAAGCTACACCTAATGGGGGGGGCAGTAAAAAAGACAGAGAGGGTGGGATGAGAGAAAGAGAGAGAGCTAGAGATAGAGATGAAATAGAGAGAAAAGAGGAGAGAGAGAGAGAGAGAGAGACTAAGTTTTTTCAAAACAGCAAAGGCACATTACTTCCAAAGGAGCAATAATAAGACTGAAAGCTGTCTTCACAAAGAAATAATGAAAGACAGATGTCAATCAATTGATAGCTCTATAAAGCTAAACAAAAATTCACTTTATCCTAGAAGTCTATATTCAGCCAAAAATTTCGCTCAAGATCTAAAGTATAATAAAAATATTTTAGGCAAACAAAATTAATTAGTCAGACTTCCAATAAAAGAATTACTACATGGGAATTCTTCAGGCAGAAGCAAAATAGCCACAGATAAACCACAGAAAAATTAAGAGAAAAGGATACTAAGATAAATCTAATAATAACTGACCTCATAAAATAAAATAGTACCTTACAGAATGTAGAACATATGTAAATTAAAATGTATTAATAGCTGGATAATCACATTGGTACTACTTGCACAGAAGATACAGTACCTAAAGTCTACAATATTAGGAACCCCTTAACTGTTCCAATTTGCTTTCAAATTGGAAGACAAAAAAAAAAAACCCTTTAGGTAGAAAATAATATGTTAATGTCTAACGTTAAATGCATTTGCCTTTATACCAGAGAAGTCATAAAACAATTTTTAATATTTTATGGGAGGTGGAAGCTTATGAAGACAAAAGTGACAAAGACTCATAAAAGGACTCACAAAAGTCACAAGTGGCCCCAATTCCCACCTAAACTCCAGTGCTTCTATTGCTAAAATGAAAAGGAGAACAATGAATATAGGAGGCAATCAACAGTTTCCACCACAATATACACCTGTGGATGCTCATGACCATAAATGATGTACTTCACTCACTAGAATGCACTCTCTAGCTCTCCAAAAAAGACAACTCAAATTCTACTCAGTGATTGAATACAGCTTAACATTCAAGGACTCTAGTTATAGATGCTATTCCTTTATTAGTGGGGAACCATAAATTAATAAAGCACAATCTTTCCCCTTTCCCGTATTTAACATGTAAAAGCAGAGTAGGAGTAAGATAAACCAAGGGATATAAAACCAAAAGAATGGAACAAAACAAAAACCTCTCCCTATTATTAAGGAGGGAACCACTAAACACCAAAGTTAATGGTGAACTCTGCAGGTCAGAGAAAACAACGATTCCCAGTCCTGGACTGATCTCATTTCTTGATTAGACATTGATTCGACTCTCCCAAAGTCATTCCCTTGTTCTTCATGAATGATGGATTTGAATCCTTCTTTATCTGTTATTTCCTGTGATTTCCCTGTTTTTTGAAGTTCATTTCTTGCGGAAACTGGTTTGAGCATCCAGGAATGGCCATTCATAAGCTTCTGGTTTCCTTGCATGAGTATTGGGAGACATTTTGGGAGTTGGTAGCCCTGAGACTATGTATTCAGAGCAGGTGAACAGAACCTTTATTTTGTATTAATATCAAGTCAATTCTCATTACCAACACACATACATTTTGAATTTCTCAACTGTATTTTTAAACTCTGCTGGGTTCATACTAAATATGATCTCATTTTCTTTATATCCTTGTATTTTTTGCTGCTAATGTCAACTTTTCTGACTGTAGTGAAACTAGAAAATTGCTTATATTTACATACTTTTCCTGACATTTTAATGGAAATTGATAAGTAGGAATGGTTAATGTGAAAAATCAGCTATTATCTCTTAAACTCATTTGATTAGGTTGGCATTTCCTACAGCATTTGTACTATTTTACATTTGTATTTTTTTCATACAGATACTTTGGAATTATTAAAGCATGGACATCTGTAATAGGAATGTTAGGAGCACTACTTGCTTCCACTTCAACTGGATTGATCCTTCATCAGGTAAGGAGCATACAGATATGTGTACTTATTTTTTTCAATATTAATTGTACAGAGAAAGAAGGTGGTACATAAGTAAAACATTGCAGAGGAGATGCCAGCACAAGATGAGTTATGAATTTTTGTGCTATATGAAAATAAACTTGGTCAAATCAGTAATCTCTCCAAATCTATAATATTTTCTCATTATATGTCAATTTGTTGTACTGGGACTTCTTTAGTTATTGGCTAGTAATACTGAAGTGGTTCCCTGTTATTTTTCATAATGAATATGGGACTTGGTCCAAACAGGTATTTGACTTGGTGAGTGATAATATAAGTAACAAGATACAGTTTCATCAGAAAAAGAATGAAAAATTAGGATTAAGTAAAGTTGAAAAACATCCAAAGTCTATGTAATGAAGGCAGACTTCTTTTCTTGCAAGTGTCATGGACAAAGTTACCTAAAATTTTCCTGTTGAGAACATTTAAATGCTCTAGTAAATTTTAATAGTCATTTAACCAAATTTTAATGCATGCCTCGTCTGGAAAAAAAGTAAAGTACAAGACAATTTCAGAGATTATAAATGAAAGAAGAGCTGGCTTCCAGAGAGGTTAATGAGGATTGAAGTCCCTGATTGCTTTGGGTCATTTCTATCTTGGGTGATGTATGTCTTTAGTAATAATAAACAAATGGAAAATAATAGATAATATCCTAAAATTATACAAAAAGGAAGAATCAGAATAGAAATACTGGCATAAATCTGTAATCTCAAAGACCTATACCTTCAGACCACTAGCTCCATGTGTATCACGTATAAACTTAGTTTATTTGAAAGAAAACTTGCAAGCAAAGTAGTAGTATTGTATTGGTAATCCCTCCCAATGTTCCTTATCCCACAGTTGGGCCAGGGAGAGATGGTCTACATATACTATAGCCAAATTTCCCATAGAGAGAAGACCTCCACCGTCACACTCTCCAAATTTATGGTATCAAAAGAGCAGAAAACATCACTAGAATCATACAAGCTCCATTGTCAGAGAAGTGGCCTCACTAAAAAGTGGGATATCCTGGTGGGCACCGTCTGTTCCTCACTCTGAGTATAGTGCTCCTATTCTTCCATTGAACTCACTTGAACATGCAGAGTTGACTTCCAAAAGTTGTTACCTAAGCTAGCTTCTCTGATAACTTCCAAAATGTGGGAGGAATGTGACTGCAAAACTGTCTAAAGTTGTCTTAGTCTAGTAAGTTAACTTGTCTGGCTCAGTCTCAGCTTTAAAGGGAGAGAGGGGAAAAAAAAAAAAAACCCTCTTCTGAGCATTTGAAACAAAAGTGATTAAAAAATTTAGTGATCAGAGGGCAGACAGGGAAGTCCATTGTTGCAACTGTAATAATTTTTCTGGTTCACCTCTTGGGCATTTTCCAACTTCTTTAAAGTTAGATGTATCCATGCAACTTATTTTAATCAATGAAATATGAGAGGAAGTGATATGTGTTAATTCTGAGGCATAGCATTAAAAATCAGAAGAGCATTCTTTCCTTTATACACAGCAACTGGTAATATTCAGAATGGTGACTACAGCTCTACCAACCATGATCCAGGAATCCAGTTATGTAGAGCATACCTTTAGCCAATCCATTATATAGCTTTTGTGTAAATAAACAACAAATTTCTATAATTAAAAACCACTAAGATTTGTGAGTGTTGGTTATTATATAACCTACTTCATTTTGACCTGTCAGAAGGTTCTATCCCAAATTCATCCCAGAAAAAAAACACCACAGATTATGTGGTATGAGACAGAGTTGATCCCGCGACAAGGCCTAACAATCATTTAATACATCCTTTGGAGCCTCAGAAGATTGAGAAAGAGAGCAGGGCAGAACCTATATTTGAAAAGAAAGTGATTGTTTTTTAATTTTCCAGAGAGATAGAAATTCACATTTTTAAGATGTCCAATAATCACAAGTAGGATAAAAAAAATAAAATACGAATAAAAAATCAGCATGATACCTCATAGAGAAATTGCAGGAAAAAATACAAAAAAATCATACAAGCAGTCAGAGAAATAAGAAACATTTCATTCAAAAATGCAACAGTTAGACTGATCTCTGACTTCTCAACCACAGAAGACAGGAGAATGATCGATAGGCTTAGTGGAAATAATCACCATTATGAGTTTTTAAACAGGGAAAATATTTTCCAAAGAGGAAGACAATGTGTTTCAAGCACACAAAGACTGAAAGGTTTCAATTCACTAATTGACATTTAGAAATGTTTTTAGGCTGAAAGAAATACACATGGAGATTTAGAAAAAAATGAAGAGCAACAAAAATGGTAAATAAGTGCACAAATCTACTTATTCACTTATTGTTTTATTGTATGAAGCAAAGATAGGCACATATATAGAAAGACTGAAATAAACAATAAAAATAGTAAATAAGCCAGAAGAAGATGAGCAAAATATTGCAAAGATTTCATGTTATTATGCCAGAGGATAAAAATACTAAGGATAGTGTTTGATACATCAAGAATACATAATGTCATTTCTAAGTTAATAATTAAAACAATAGGAATATAACTACTTTAAGTTTAAAGAGAGAAAAATAAATTGATTTAAAAAAACCTTATCTACAAATAGATGAGGAAATGCAACAAGAACAGGAGGTGCAAACATAAAGCAAATAACATAAGCAGGGAAATTAGAGATACTAGTAGCTACTTTAAATACAAATAAACCAAAAGCTCCAACCAAAAACTAATGATAGTCAAATTGGATGAAGAAATGAGCTGAATATTGTGCTGTTTTCATGTAAATATGTAGTAAAATAGCAACAGAAATATTGGAATTTACAGAGAAAACAGCACTCCATGAAGCTTTTAGCAAATGAATGCTGCTGTAGCCATGTTGATCTCTGTGGAGTTATTAAGGCAAAAAGTATTACAAGAGATGAAGACAGTCGCTTCATAATGACATACAATTCAATTCAGTGGGAAATATGATAATTTTGCATGCACGAAAATATGGTGTTATATAATATACAGAAATATTGGAATACATGACAAAAACATAACTATATGGAAGATTTTAATATACCACTTCTAGTAAATGTTGCAGTGAAGCAAAAAAAAAAAAAAAATTCATAAAAATATAAGTTGAATAACACAATTAATATATTTGGTCTAACTGACATATACCTAATATTCTACTCAACAACTAAGAAATCCTCATGCTTTTCAAGGTTTCCTAGAACATTTATAAAACTTGGCCATGCATTGTGCCATTAGGTACATTTTGGCAATTTCAAAACAACTGAAAGTACACATACTAGGAACTCCAATTACAATCAAATTATGACAGGACTCAAAGACAAAAAAGGTAAGTAAAAAAAGCCACATAATTTGAAATTAAGAAATACACTCTAGGGTAACTCCCTCAGGTCCTCTCCCGCTCTGGGAGCTTTTCTGTTCTCTCAATAAATTCTGCTTTCTCAACTCTCCCATTGTCCATGTCCCTCATTCCTACTGAGCAACAGACACGTAAGTACCCTGACCTGGAGAGCTGCAGAAGATCGTGGTAGCCAAAGAGTAGCAAACCCAGGAGGCTGGCTTGCCAGCCTCTGGAGCCTGCTGAACCAGGAGAGCTGCCAGCAGATGGCGAGACTATGAAGCTGAGACACTCCTGAGGCTAGGTTTGCCAGCCCACCGAATCAGCAACACAGGGTTTGGTTTGCCAGCCCATTAGAGCCAATACTCCTGAGGCTAGACTTGCCAGCCCATCATGCTGACACCTTTTGGGGCTTGGCTAGCTGACCAATTGAACTGACACTCTCCAAGCCCAGGCTGACTTAAAAATTCTGTATCAACTTTCCAGACATTTCTAGAATATATAAAATTGCACAAAGACTTTTTTTTTTTGAGTTGGAGTCTCACTCTGTCGCCTAAACTGGAGTGCGGTGGCCGGGACTCCAGCGCTCAGCGCTCCTTCCGCCTCACCCTTCCAAGCAGCCGAAACTACAGGCATGCGCTACCACGCCCGGCTAATGTTTTGATTTATTGTAGAGATGATGTCTCGCTTGCCCAGGCGGGTCTCGAACCCGCGGGCTCAGGCAATCCACTCACCTCAGCCTCCCAAAGGCGCGGGATTACAGGCTGAGCCACCGAGCCCGGCTCACAAAGAACTTTTTAATTACTACAATTAAACATTGGGAAGATTACACCTGGGCCCAACTGAAGTGATGGGGTCACGGTCCCCTCTCCCGCAGAAAATAAAAGAAATATACTCTAGGTGTTCAGCTGCCTAAATTAAGGTCATTAAATTAGCTCAGTTTTCCCACTGAGAATTAGTAGAAAATTTGATTTATTATCTATGTGTACTAATGTTTCATATTTATATTTGAAGATATCAGAGATGTAACATGTAGTGACTATTTGTGATGCCACAATCCAGACCATAAGCATTAGCTTGGCATTTGTACTGTTTGTTTCTGTAAGTGTCCCTTTCTTTCTAAAATGGACAGCTGAGAAGTGAAGAAATTGAGTAAAGTTATTCACAACTTCTCAGGCCCGAGGGGATAAATATTAGGATCTAGAGACGAGGTTAGGACAAGATGGGACTATATACAACAAAGAAGGCTGAATTGGAAATTGACTGATTTTTGATGGTACATAAGAGTATCTACAAAATTCCTCCAGCAAATTTCATATATAATGTACAACATGGAACATTTCTTTCTGAAGTTGGGAACACGGAAAAGATGCCTTCTGTCACTATTTATTTACATTAAACTTTGTATTGTGCTCTAGAAATAAGATGCAAAAATATGAAAAATAAAAATGAGAAACAAACACAATTAGCATTTTTTCTGGTGGTATACAAAGAAAATCAGAAGTCTACTTATAAATTATTTAAATTAATTTGGAATGATGTAAGATATAGTATAAATATGTAAATATAAATTGTTTTCCAAATACCTTAACAGAAAGTATAATAATAAAAATTTTTATCAAGGATACTATTTATAATACCATAATCAAAATCAATACCTAATAATAAACTTACAGAGTGATTTATATGATTCCCGTAATGAACATCATAGACAAATTTGAGAGAAATTGAGAAAATGGGGAAAGATGCCATTTTCATGTACTAAAAATAATTCAAAATTGTAAAATATCTTCTCATTCTCCTAAATGCCCTAAAGATTCAATGAAATTCCAATCAAAATTCTAAATTATTCTTGTGAAAATTAAAAAGGACCTTATGCAATCGACATGTGCTCACAAAAGGCCAAGAATAACCAAGAGAATCTTGAAGCTGAAATTTTGCTCTAATTAATATTAGGGTATATTACAAAGCTGTGAAAATCGATACCATAAGGCATTGCCACAAGTAGATAAACAGCAGTAGAACTAAAGAAAGAGTGTAGAAGGACTCCACATACATGGACTATTGATTTATGACAAAGGTGGCACTGCAGAACAGTGGAGAGAGGTTGGGCCTATCATTAAGTGGTATTGTGTTAAAGGAATTTCATAATGAAGAATAAAAAATTTGACTTATCTCACAATATTTAAAAAAAAATTAGAGGTAGATTGTGCATCTAAAAATTGTAAGCGAAATATAGCGTTTCTAGAATATAGTACAGATATTTTCATGACTTGACAGGAAATTACTTCTTAAAGAGGGCCATAAAAGTACTAACATAAAGATCAAGACAAAGGCATTACAATTAAGAACTTCTGCTCTTTAGAAGATACCTCAGACCGGGCTTGGTGGCTCAGTCTGTAATCCCAGCACTTTGGGAGGCCGAGGCAAGAGGATTACCTGAGCCTGTGGGTTTGAGGTCAGCCCAGGAAATTTGGTGAGACCCTTGTCTCTACAATAAATAAAAAATTAGCTGGTCATGGAGGCGCGCACTTGTAGTTCCGGCTACTTGGAAGGCTGAAGTGGAAGGATCGCCAGAGTCCAGCAGGTAGATGCTGGGGTGACCGTGAGTATGCCACTGAACTCCAGTCTGGGTGACCATGAGTTTGCCACTGAACTCCAGTCTGAGAGTGAGAATCCAACTCAAAAAACCCCAAAAAACCTTTAATGGGATACATAGTCATTGAATTCAAAAAGATTCTTGGAACACATATAACTAACCAAGGGTTTTTAGTAAAAATATAGAGGCACTATGACTCAATAAGAAAAAAAAATAGAAAAAAAGATGTAAGTAGGCACTTTGTAAGGTGAAGTCATTATAGCAAATAAATGTAGTAAAAGACAAACTAAAAATCACAACTTTCTTGCACTACATACCTACTAGTTATAAAACCAAAGATAAGCAATAGTGTGTCCAAAGGAAAACTGATTACAGGTGGTGGAAATGATGATTAGTTAACACTTCTGAGAATAAGTATTAACTATTAAAGATTAAGTTATTCCTTCTTTATTGCTCAGTAACTACACTCTAACATAGATGAATGTATCTACACCAGGAAACATGTACAAAATATGTACATGGCAGGAGGCTGCCAGATAGCAAAATATAAGGTGAAGAATGCCTGGCTAAATTTGAATTTTTGGAAAAACAAAGAATAATGTCTTGGTATAAATACAAAACTTTGTTTTATTAGTAAATGCATATCACATACTTATATGACACATAAACACTTATTGTTTCTCTGGAATTCAAATTAAACGAGCATCTTCATTTTCTGACAACCTTCTCATGGCATTGTTCAAAGTCATTAACAGTCAGGGATGCGAGAAGAAAGTGGCATAAAAAATTTTTTCAAGCATACAAGGTCACATAATGTCTAACATTTTATGAGAAAATAATTGAGAGAGATTATTTTTGAAAAAACAAGAAATAGAACTGGAAAATGAAAAATAAGAGTATCAATAATCTTAATTATAGTTTTATCATAAACAAAATCAAATATAAAATAAATAAAAAAGAAATAGCATTCAAAATACTCAATAATTAAAAGTTTTTGTGAAATGCGAAAATAGGAACTCTTTACATGACAATGGGGATGAAGATAGAGGAGAGCGGACAAAAAGGAAATGAGAATCTGACAGATATTAGGTCTATTATGGAAAAGATCAATGTTGATAAAATGTATACATCTATCTATCTTTCTACGAGTATCTACTTTTTACTTATGTATATTGTTAAATATGTATCTACTATAAATAGATATGTTTATATATGTATTTTAAAATCTCTATAGCTATATCTTTCTATTTTGATAGCATTGAGTATAGATATGGAGAATAAACACCAAAAGAGCAATATTGATAACTTTTAAACAAACAGAAGAAAAGTCAATCTCTCTACATCATTCAAAAATTAAAAAAAAATTGTAATGGAAAATATGAAATAATATAAGGGTAATACAGCATAGCAAAATAATACTTAGAGTAGATGAAAATATGTTAAATTTGCCAATTAAAATGCAAAAATCATACTTTTTTTCCTCTATCTACCAATTTATATATATAGGCTTAAATGATACAATGACATTTTTGCTGCATAAATACCTTGAAAAGAAGCTGAAAATATTGAAATAATATAACAGAATTTAAAAAAGAATAATTAATTATGAACTACAAGAAACTGATATATTAGGCTTAGTATTTAATTAATATAGAATTTTAGATAACACATATATAATAGAAAATTAAAAGTAGTTATTTGTAGAGTGAAATGATGGCTTTTGTGTATGTGTGTGTGTGTGTGTGTGTGTGTGTGTGTGTGTGTGTCTATTCATAAGTATGTTTTGTTGTGACCTGTGTTGAGTCTATAGTATTTTTAATATGCTATTTTCAGTGTTACAAAACACAAACCAAATAATTTACAATTTCTTTGAATTTTAATTCCTCAGGATCCAGAATCTGGTTGGTTTAAAGTCTTCTTTCTGATGATTACCATTAGTATGCTAGGCCTAATTTTCTACCTTAAATTTGCTAAAGCAGAAATTCAAGACTGGGCTAAAGAAGAAAAACACACACGCCTCTGAAGGTGAGAAGCATTCAGGTTAAGCAAAATTTTGAAACTGGGGTTGCAGGAGAGAAAGGAGTTAAGGATGACCCCTCAGATGGGGAAGATTAAAGGGTGCAGATTTGGAGAAGACCATGTTAGAGTGGAAAATTTAGACATCTTGATAAAAATGACTCTGGAAATCTGGGTGGATGTTGGATCTGGAAATATAAGTTTGGAAAGATGAGTTTCTAAAATTAAAATGTGAGGAGAAGAAAGGAAATTTTATAAGGGAGACTGTGAAGGGACTTCACTGAAGTAAAAAGTACAGTTGGAAAGTGTGCCTCAAAGAAGTAAAAAAAAAAAGGTGGAAGTGAGTACCTTGGGCAAGTGCTATAAAAAGCTTAAATCATATAAGATCTAATAATTTACTAATGGGTTAGGCAAGAGGGACCTTCAAGAGGACCCTGACTTAAATGATTTTTAAATGAATGATGAAGACTAAGGGTCCATTAAAGTATGTTCAAAGCACTAATGCTGTGTCTTATATGAATTGTATCAGTAGTAAATAGGTAGTAGGAGAAATGTCTTTTTGGAGAATAATGTCAACTAATTTATAATTAAGAATTTATAGATTTGAAATATCCCTATTTTGTAATCCCCAATGAATTAAGGGATCTAGGTGTCAAACATCAATGGCCATTAAAATCACAAAAAGAGAAGCATGAAGATATTGTATATGGCCTCGAGAAGAACACATCGTGAAAGAACATTAATCTCTTGCAAAGAAAATCAAACTGAATCTGAGGGCGCTTCTGGATACAGCTACCATTTTGCAAGAAACACAGAAAACAGAGAATATGTTGAATTCAATCCAAAGTGTTAATCAATAAAGCTAAACCGTGGGAAATTTTATAGGTCAAAGGTCTTAGGTTATTCAATAGATAAATCGCATATAATAAAAAAATAGAAGTGGACTCTCCAGGTTAAAAAGGAACTAAAAGATATACAAAATTTTTAAGTATGGGTGAGACTAAACACTATAAAGATATACATGTGGGTGATAAGTCTATAAAGAAATACATAAAAGACATTATTATAAATGTCAGGGTAGTCATTACTTTCAAGGGGAGGGAGGTACCTCATGGAGAACTTCTGGGTTCTGGAAATATTCTCTTTTTCATGTCCAAGTTAAGTGATTAAAAACATTTACCTTATAATAATAACTCATTGAACCAAATATTTTTTGAGTCTGTGTTTTATCGAGAGAGAGAGAGAGAGAGAGAGAGAGAGAGAGAGAGAGAGAGAGAGAGAGAGAGAGAGAGAGAGAGAGAGAGAGAGAGAAAGGATGCACCAGGAGAGACATTCCTCTAAAGAAGAGCAAAGAAATGGTGTGGTATCTATAGAGGGATGTATTATCAAGGAGGGTTTGTTTGTTTCAGAAATAGATTTAATAGCATGTAAATTGACAGTATAAGCCACCAATGAGATGAGGTTTCACAATGTAGTAGAGAAAGCACAAGTATAGAATGAAAGGATTGAATAATCCAGAGAGGACGGAATCCAAGCACTAGTGCAGGAATTGGCCTTGGATAGAAACCTAGAGCTTATCCACAGTGGCACAGAGAAGGTGGGCTTTATGTGATGAGTTAATATGTAGATTAGCATTTTATCTGTGCAATAAGCAATGAAGTTTTCACATAAGAGGAAAGGGATGAGAGAGAAGGAAATGAAAAAATACACATTGGTAAGAAGGTAAAATTATGATGGTGAGTGGATGATATGACTCTACATAGAAAATCTAAGCAGGTTAACTAAAAAACTACAGGGAGATTACAGGAATGCAGTAAGTTTTCCAGATAATCCATTAATAAATAAAAAATTTCACCATAATAAAAAAATAGCCAGTTGGCAACTTTAATGATAGAAATGATCCAAATAATTTTTGGAGGAAAATTTGATGGTATCACTAAAAAATTAAATTGGGTCATTATTAATTGTACCTGGTATTGCAAGGATTAAGAATTTCCGTAACAGTGTACACACAAAAATATGCCAAGACGCATGCATACTCAAGTCTGCTGATTTAGCAATGACAGAAATCTGGATCTGAAATTAAACATATTTAGCAATACAGCCTTCATTAATAAGTTTTATTTAAGTGAATGGAAAAGAACCAACAATTTAAAACTAAAAAGCCCTATCTGAGTATTTTTAATGTCGAAATTATTGAGATTGTCCTTATGAATAAGAATCCAAAGAGGATCCCTCCTAAAAAAACAGAATTATTTTTTGGAGGACGAGTCCTTGTAGTAAAGGCTTCCCCTGCTAGGTATATGTTCTAGGAGCCCATCAGCATCAGTATACCAAGGTAGTGTTGTTGTGAGAGACTGCATTCTGTATTTGGCTTCAGTTAAATATGTTTTTGGAGATTCAACACATTTGCCCACTTCACAATGGGTGATTTATGAGCGCACCTGCCCAAACCACACTGAATGATCAGCAGTTTTTGACCAAAAATGACAAGAAAACCATGACCCACCCTCCCTATTCATTCACTCTCACCCAGAACGACTTTTTTTGTTGTTTGTCTTCTCGAATGAAGAAAGTCCTTGAAGGGAACATTCTGTCAACATGGAAGAGGAAAAACAAAAAATGGCAGAAGCACTAAAAAGCTGTTTTGAGCAGTGGAAAAAGCATCTTGATAAACGTTTTGCATTAAACAGAGAGTACTTTGAAGGCGACTGAAGTTTCAACATATAAGAATAAATACACAATTTTTTAATAAATAAATTCCAGTGTTTTTTTTAACCCCTCGCCCATTACAGTACAAGAAAATGTCCCGTAGACCTTAGCAAAAGTGTATCATCTGTTTCCTTTGTACAGAAATGGGCACAGTGGGGACAATCACATTACTTTATTCAGACCCCATAAATCTTATTTGCTTCTATATATTTGATGAATTAAATACTGAAAATTATAACAAAGTTTTCCATTACTGTTATTTCTATTCATTTCTCTTTTTTATGTCCAAGCACTTATTGAATACTAACTGCAGTTAGTATTGTATTCTTAAGTTATAATTTCAGAGAGATTCTGACGAGTATGTTTTTACTGCAAATTTATTTTTGATTTTATAAGTTCATCAGTCTTTTTCATTTACTGATTTTTACTTTTAATTCACTTTCTGATATTGATATGGCAACCTCAAACTGTATATGTGTGCTTATTTTAGATTCCCTAGAATACTTTTTTATTGCTTTTCAATTCTCCCTTTCTAAGATATTTTATTTATTGTTTATTTATTAGCCTCCCAATTCACCCACTTTTGAAGGACTAGCTCTTTCTCAGTTCACAATTGTAATGGCAGAAGAAAATAGCCATGATCTTTTAATTGATATCAAAGTCCTTGTAACTATCACTACAGTAGTTTGCTTTCTACATTTATAATGGAAATAAATGTAAATGTCATTCAGAGGTTATGGAAATTAAGATGTAATTTTTTTCTAAGTAAATTGACAGACCCCAGGTTAAGAATCTCTGCTTTCAAGTATCAGTCAGACAATAAATTAAGATTTGTAGGCACTTTTATACGTTCTGGGACAGAGGACAGTGACCAACATTGTCAGACCCTCTGTGACTAATTTAGAGAGGAAATGAATAGGGGGGCGATGAATAGCAATATTTACAGAGATAGGATAATTCCAGGTACTGATGTACTATGAGGAACATAAATAGGATAACACAATAGTGTTCAGAAGAGCTCTTGTACCTGGAGGTCAGTGGATAACATTGTGTTGAGACTTCAGTGATGAGAAAGGGGACTATATTAAAACCAGGGAATATCCTAACCAAAAATAAATAAATAAATAAAAGGGAAATAATCAAGATGAGAGTGAGCTCAGTACTCCTTAGTGGGAGAAAGGAGGGCAGGTAACTGGTTTCTGTCAGTGAGAGATAATGTTTGTGTTTGAGGGCTAGATCATGTACAGTATACAGGTCATCATAAGAGCTTGGTTTGAATTCAATTCTGCTTATAATCTAAACCACTGGATTTTTTTTTTAAGAGAACGGTGACTTGCCTGATCAATGCTTTATAACTATCCTTCTGACCACCTTCTAGATAAAGGACTCCAGGAAGGCAAGAGTGAAGGCTTGAAGACCAGGACAGAGGCTGTTTCGAAGTTCAACTGCTACATACTGGTAGTGTGGGCTAGGATAGAGTCAGAGGTGATGGTGAGAACTAGACAGATTCAGATGCGTTCTGGAAGTGGGGTTGACCAGATAAGGCAGGGAGATTGTGGTCTGTGCAGGAAAGAAAAGAATCAAGGATGGAACCTAGATTTTGACTTTAGTAACTAAAAGTGTGTTCATTGCTGAGACTGGAAGTTTTGCCAGGTAGGAAGATGGGGTGGGGTTTTATCCACATTAAATCGAAGATGCTTGTTAGGATCTCAAGAAGCATCCTGTAGACAGGTAAACATACAAGTCATACACAGTACAGAAGTCCTAGTGAGAGATAAACATTGTAGGATTATCAACCTGTATGTGGGATAACCTAGAGACAATGACTGCACACAAAAAGGTAGACCCGGTTGTCAAGCCTGAGGATATGCTGACATTTAGAGCCCTGATAGAGAAGGTGGAAACAAAAGGAGACAAGAAAGTGGCCATTAAAGTAGGAAGAAAACCAGACAAGTGAGAGCCCTCAGAAAGCCTAAGACAGAACTTGTGCTGAGGAGTATATTCTGGCCATTGGTGAGATTCCTCTGAAATACCAAGTAAGAGGGAGGTTAAGGAATTGAGCACTGCCTTTGGTAGTTGACTGAGATGTAATTCTTTACATTATACAGATCTCTCATCATTACACATTATTGTGTCTTATCATCACTGCCACTCTTTGGGGGAGAGTGGGGGTGAGATCATCTTCCTTTACAGAAATATCATGAGACTCTGTGGCTTGTGTTGTTGTCAGAGAATCTATTGTACTCGAGTAGTGCAATAGTTTGTATAATGAGTATATAAAAGTTTATTTGGTTG